GGTCTAGATCATGCTAGCACACCATAACACCCTGTTTCACCCATACAATTCCAAAGATACCTCATAATTTATCTTGGGTCAAGCCTAATATTATACACGCCCCCTAGATTGCTACCTGGACTAAGAACATACCCCACCTGCGTTTTGGACTTCAACATTTACATGGGCCTGACATTCTGCTATCCAGACCCCCTGACTTACTTAACCTATTTATCTATTTATTTGTTAATTTTTTTTTCTTTTTTCTTCTTTTATTTTTATAAAATATTTTATAAGTTTATTTTATTTAGTAAGCAAACAAATATTTTTATAATTAGATAAATAATTTATTTTTATAACTACATTATATGTTTATTAGTAAAAATAACATTTTTTTAATAATTATATTATTATTAATTTAAATTATTGTCTAAACCTACTAACTAGTCTTTAAAATACTAACTTAATTATTTTTTCTAAACTTTTACTAACTTCAAATATATATATTTTATTTACTTATTAAAATATTTATTTTCACTTATATTTTTAAAATTTAATCAAACATTAAAATAGTTAACCCATCAAATTATTATTTTTACTAACTTAATAAATTCAAGAACATTTTCAAAAAAAGGATTAAATAGCATTGCCTTCAATTAAAACTGCGAACTGCGTCTACGATCATTCATTTTTTCAAACCCAGACAAGGTTCAAGGATAATTCGAAAGAAATTCTACGCAATCCTATAAAAAAAATTAACCAAACACATTCGAACTACGAAATGGACTCTGATTTTTTCGTAAAAGGATACATAGGCACGCGCTTAAAACCAAGGCGAGTCCCCTAACTAAAAAATTATAGCTTTCATATATACATGATAATAACATATTTTAAATAGAAAATTTCCGTTAAGTCCTAAACTTAAATAGGGGTCCCCTTGATAACAAGGGAGATAAAGGGTGTCTAACACCTTCCCTTTATCTAACCAACTCGCGAACCTATAAATCTTTGAAAATTTAGGGTTATTCGTTCTTTTCCCATCCTTAGGACAAAAAATAGTGGTGGAGACTCTCTTATTCTTTTCCAGTTACGACACTATTTACTTTCTACTGCTTAGTTTTTGAAAATGTTTTTAAACTCTGATTTAACTTGCTCAAAATTTTCAAAATCAAGTTTTTTCAAACCACACAATTCACTCACCTCTTGTAATGTGTGTGTGTGCGTGCATGCGTGTGTGTGTGTGTGTGTGTGTGTGTGTGTGTGTAGGGTGTCATGTTTTGTCATGTCTTTGCTTGGACAAGCTTATGGCATTACTTTGCGAGTCAAAAAACTATTTGTGCATAGTTTTTTGTTTTTCTTGTGGTTTTTCACTCGTACTCATGAATTTCACCATTAAAATGTTCATACAGGTGTTTTGACTTTTTTATGGTAAATTTGGGATTTTTTTATTTGATTTCTTGTGTTTTAAGTTAGTAAGTGCTTATGATAATTAGGTAAATCCGACACTTGTTATTGACACACATCTGCCATTTTTCATATGACTTCTTCACCATCAACATATTCGTCAATCAAGTCAGATACTTGATTTCCTATATGAATCTAGCATGCTTTAGTTTCTTTACATCTTCAACAATTCATGTCTGCTTCTTTTCTCCCTCTTTATGCTTCATCTAGATGACTTGCTTAAATCCTATTTTTATGGTGAGGTAATTACACATTGTATTTGCATCTATTTGAGACATATATGAAGGTGGTTATACAAACAAATCTACATTCTTCTGAAGCAACTATATGATGTTCTCTTCCTTGTCGCTTGCCAAAGAGGTTCCAACTAGGTGGTTTGAGAAATATTGGGACCTATTTATATTGCATTCAAATCTTCTATTAATAATAACTTATCCTCTAAGTCATTTGTTCTTGGGTCTAGGTCCATGGAATTAACATTGTGGGATTTAACCGAAAACATCATTTTTACTTTTTATTTTCTTTAAATATTTAGGATATCTTGGTAAAACCTCGTATCCACTTCCTGATCCATTTCCACCACCCATATTTGCTTATCATCTATGGGGTATTTCACGATCAAGAGTGTTGGACTTGAGACTTCACACACAAGAGCTAAGTGAATTGTGTGGTTTGAAAAAACTTGATTTTGAAAATTTTGAGCAAGTTAAATCAGAGTTTGAAAACATTTTCAAAAACTAAGCAGTAGAAAGTAAATAGTGCCGTAACCGACAAAAAATAAGAGAGTCTCCACCACTATTTTTTGTCCTAAGGACGGGAAAAGAACGAATAACCCTAAATTTCCAAAGATTTCTAGGTTCACGACTTGGTTAGATAAAGGGAAGGTGTTAGACACCTTTTATCTTCCTTGTTCTCAAGGGGACCCCTATTTAAGTTTAGGACTTAATGGAAATTTTCTATTTAAAATATGTTATTATCATGTATATATGAAAGATATAATTTTTTAGTTAGGGGTCTCGCCTTGGTTTTAAGCGTATTTATATATATATATATATATATATATATATATATATATATATATATATATATATATATATATATATATATATATATATATATATATATATATATATATATATATATATATATATATATATATATATATATATATATATATATATATATATATATATATATATATATATATATATATATATATATATATATATATATATATATATATATATGCGCGCGTGCGTGTGTATGTTTTAACTTTTTAATTTTAGAGGAAAATATTTCTAATAAATGTTTAAAAAAATGGTATGATCATCAAATTGACAAAGTCATGTGGATAAGAGGTTGGTGGTCGAATCAACAAGTCATTAGTTGAAACACACAACTACAACAAAAACAACAACAACACCAACAACAATCAAGCCTTAGCCTAATAAGTGGAGTCGGCTACATGTATCAACTTTTTCCATAGAACATGACCATACTTCTATCCAAATTATTAATCTAGAGATCTTTCTTAATAACCTCTCTTATAATCTTTTTAGGTCTTCCTCTTCTTCTAGCTATTTGAATTTTCTCCAGCCGATCTACTTTCCTTACCATAAAATCTACAGGTTTTCACTCTACCCGCCTAAACCACCTAAGTCTAGTTTCCACAATCTTTTCTACTATATGAGCTACCCCAATACTCTATCTAATATTTCCATTTCTAATCTTATCCTGTCTAGTCTTACCACACATCCAACACAACATCCTTATCTACATTTACTTTATTCTGGTGTTGATTCATAATCGTCTAAAATTCTATCTCGTTGAACATCATAGGTATCACCATAATCTGTTAAAATTTTCCTTCAACTTGAGTGGTACCTTTGCGTCACATAAAATACTCTAAGTCCATTTCAGCCACATAGCCTGAAATCAGTGGTTTACACTCCATAATTTTATATTAAGGACCTAAGATGTTTAAATACTGTGACTTTAAGGATGACATGGTCTCCAACTTTCATCTCTATGTTAGAAACACTTATTCTTTTGTTCAACTTATATTCCATATACTTCATTTTACTTCTGTTTAGGTGAAAACCATGTGTTTCTAAAGCTCATCTCCAAGTCTCCAACCTTTCATTTAAATCCTCCTTCGACTCTTCAAGTAGGAATATACCATGTGCAAAAAACATGCATATCAGTGTTAGCTCTTGGATATGTTTTGTGAGTACATCCAGAATTAAGGTAAAAAAGGTAGAAGTTTAGGGTTGAACCTTGATGCAAACCAATTGTAATGAGAAAATCATATGTCTTTCCACCTTGTGTTTGCACAATAGTTAATACCCCTTCATACATATATTGAATAGCTCAAATATATATAATCCTAACCTCTTTCTTCTTAGGGATATCCACAAAATCTCTATAAGCACTCTATCATACTCCTTCTCCAAGTCAGTAAAAATTAAGCACATGTCCTTTTGGTCTATCGATATTGCTCCATCACACTCCGTAGTAAATACATCGCTTCCATGGTCGACCTATCAGGCATAAAATAAAATTGATTCTCGATGAATTAAGTCTCTTTTCGTAATCTTTATTCAATCACTCTTTCTCATAACTTCATGAAATGACTCATAAGTTTAATCCCCATATAATTTACACAATTTTATATATCCTCATTGTTCTTTGTTCTTATATATTACAACTAAAGTGCTTCTCCATTTATCCGAGCACATGCTTTCACCTCATAATTTTATTAAAGAATTTGGTGAGCCACTTAATACCTCTAACTCCAAGAATTTTCTACACTTCAATAGGTATAGTGTGTGGCCCAACCGACTTACTATTACTCATCCTTTTTAACGCTTCCTTTACCTCTTGTTTTTTATCCGACGATAGTAATTATAGTTTTGATTCTCTTATCTAATGTTGAGTTTGTTAGCGTCCGACGATGTATCATATCCTTCATTAAATAAATGGTAGAAACACGTCTTCCACCTATCCTTTATATCTTTTTTCTGAATCAAGACTTTACCTTCTTCATCTTTAACACACTTCACTTAATCCAAATTATTTGAGATTGAATCAGATGACTTATTCAAATAAAATTGAATGACACAATTATAAACTAGATCTTGACAAAAAAATTATATGTATTAAATCAGATTGAATCAAATGAACCCCGTCTCTAAAATATTTTAACAATAATATGACACTAAAGAAACTTCAAAAATAACGGAGATAATCAATTTTTTTTGTATCTATTACACTTTTTTTTTTCGTTTTCTTTTGTAAAAAGAGACAAATGTTGACCGATACGATTTTATTTTTTAGATTAATTAAAAATCTACATTATTGGCTTTGAAAATTACAAAGTGAACTTAATATATATTTTCAAAAATTTATTTTGGCTAAAGACAAAAAGATAGAATTATATATATATATATATATATATATATATATATATATATATATATATATATATATATATAACATAATGGCAACCGAAACATGAGGTTCACAAACTGTCACTGATTTCTCTCTCACAAATCATAATGCAAGCTGTTCAAGCTTCATCTTCACCACACTTTTCTATCCATTCCCCAAAACCACCACACTCATCATCAACATGGGCAGGTATCAACTTCAACCCCCTTCCATAATTCTTCACCATATCACAATTTCATATGAATTTAATTTATCTTTTTTGAATTTTGGCTTTGTTTTTTCAGGTTTGCTTGCTTCATCTGTAAATGTAAAGTCTCCACCTTTGTCTTCTTATAATAGAAGGGTCATCTTGAAAAGCTCTTTTTCTGCTAGAGCTGCTTCTGTTGAAGGTAATTTATTCATTTTTTTTTATCTGTCTGTGCATGGAATGAAATGAATTATGCTTAATTCTACTCAATGGTTTCAACTGTATGCAAAAGTTTTTTTTTTGTTGACAAGGATAATTGGGTTGTGAAAATATTATTGTTAATTGGGGCTTAAGGTTTGGTATGGATAAAAAACAACTTAATTAAGTGTTTATAGGATAGACACTTATCATATAAGTGCTTATGGTAATAAGCTGAAAAAAGTTTATAAATCTGTCATATGCTGTTTTCATAAGCTCTCCTAAGCAGGTTTGCAAGTGCTTATGCCAGTTGGTAAGCTCAAATAAGCCAATCCAGATAGCCTTAATTATGTATGCTTCTTGGAACTGATTTACAAAGATGAATCTAAATCCAATGCTTGATCGTTGATCGATTTGTTGAATACTGATAACATGATGAATGAGCATTGAGCACAGCTTCTGTGGATTTTTATGTTCGAAATCATTTCGGTTTCATTTATTGCTTTCTAATACATGCAGTTGGAACTTCGTCGGTATCAACTGGAACAGCGGAGGAAGATGTGTTGAAAGCCTTGTCTCAGATCATTGATCCAGACTTTGGAACAGATATTGTTACTTGCGGATTCGTGAAAGATATGCAGATTGATAAAGCTCTAGGAGAGGTCTTAAGATCAGAGGCCTCAAACTCTCAACAATACATGTGAATGAACGAATGAATGATAATGTTCTTACAAAAAGTTTTTCATTTGAATCTCAGGTGTCGTTTCGGTTAGAGCTCACTACACCAGCATGTCCGATCAAGGACGTGGTAAATGACACAATTGCCATTGTTTGAGCCATATCTGACGTAGGTTAGAGTGGTAGACTTTTGTTCTATAAACTCATTGCATATAGAAGGGATGATAATAATAAATGAAATATTGCGTATATTTTCCATGATAAATAAATAAATGAATATTTTCGTACTCGATTATGTCTCGTTTCTAGTCTCTACATATATGATATTTGAGTTTCATGTAGTTTTGAGACTACAAAATGATTATATATGCATATGACAGTTTGAACAGAAAGCAAATGAAGTGGTGGCAGTGCTCCCTTGGGTCAAGAATGTAAATGTTACGATGTCTGCGCAGCCGGCGAAACCTTTATTTGCAGAGCAACTTCCATCAGGTCTACAAACAATTTCAAACATTATCGCTGTATCCAGTTGCAAGGTGAATCTCCTCATCATATATTGGTCATATTAAGTTGTCTGACATAATTTTGGTCATTAATCGTGATTGATTTTTGTCAAAAATCTAAATTAGTATAATTACCATGAGTTGCGTTTCGTGTCATGAATCGTGATTGAATTTGGTCAAAAATCTAAATTTGTAGGGGGGAGTAGGAAAATCAACTGTAGCAGTAAACCTTGCTTATACTTTAGCTGATATGGGTGCTAGAGTTGGTATATTTGATGCTGATATTTATGGTCCAAGCTTACCAACTATGGTTTCTCCTGAAAGTCGACTGTTAGAAATGGTAACATATGATAAACCATCTTTTTTTTTTTTTAATTATATAATTTAGTGACGTACAAGAAACATAATTGTTTTATGTATTTATAGAATCCAGAAAAGAAGACCATAATTCCAACCGAATACATGGGAGTCAAGTTGGTTTCTTTTGGATTTGCTGGACAAGGACGTGCTATAATGCGGGGTCCTATGGTTTCTGGAGTCATTAACCAACTTCTCACTACAACCGAGTGGTATGCATTTCTGAAAAACATAAAAAAGATACAATGCAGAGAATAGGGATAAAGTTACAAGCTATATTAGCTTAACAACCCATGCTATTAAGAGGATTTTGCATGCGGTTTATTGTGTATGCGATACATTGTGTATGCATGATATGTAGCCTTGATTTGGTCTATACAATGTAGGGGCGAGCTGGATTATCTTGTTATCGACATGCCTCCTGGAACCGGAGATATTCAACTCACTTTATGCCAGGTTCTAACTTGCCATTCCTATAGCTTGTTTTACATTGCGTTTTAATTTATGAAGCATAGACACCAGACATGATACTGACTCGTCAACACCAGTAATAATTTAAGAAAATGCCATTGATTTTTAGTTTCTAATTCTCATTCATTTTGTCTTTGATTGTATATCTTTATAGATAGTCCCGTTAACTGCTGCTGTAATTGTTACCACTCCTCAAAAGCTATCGTTCATCGATGTTGCAAAAGGTGTTCGGATGTTTTCAAAGCTTAAGGTGATTCTTCTACAATCCTAAAACATAGCTATTACATTTTTGTTTTTCCAATCACATACCATACTCATGTGGATTATTTTGTCTGTTAATGCAAAAAGGTACCTTGTGTAGCTGTTGTGGAAAACATGTGTCATTTTGATGCGGACGGGAAACGATACTACCCATTTGGTAGAGGCTCGGGTTCTCAGGCACGTATAATGTTTCGGAATGTTAACTTTTTGTCTGCTTAATATAAAACAATTTTGTAATGTCTATGACACATGTTTGTTTGACTGTTTGATCATATTTTCAGGTTGTTCAGCAGTTTGGAATACCACATCTGTTCGATCTTCCTATTAGACCGACTGTACGTCATCTGTTCAAACCTTTCTTCTTTTCTCTTCTCTCAATGTTCTCTGCTTCTTGCCATATTTCTAAATGCAACCTATGATTTGAGAACAAGTCGAGTTTATATGAAAAATCGTACAGTTATCCGCTTCTGGAGATAGTGGAATGCCTGAGGTGGTAGCCGATCCTCAAGGCGATGTTTCAAAGATATTCCAAAATCTAGGAGTATGTGTTGTGCAACAGTGTGCCAAAATACGCCAACAAGGTATTCTTTTTTCGATTAATGACATTTAGGAAGAAAGTGTGTATACTCAAGCTAACCATTCATGCTATTTCTATGATTTATATTTTTGTTATTTTCAATTCAGTTTCAACAGCTGTAACCTATGATAAATCGATCAAGGCAATTAAAGTAAAAGTACCGGATTCAGATGAAGAATTCTTTCTGCATCCTGCAACAGTGAGGCGGAATGATCGATCTGCTCAGAGTGTGGTATGTCAATATTAAAAAAAAACAATTCAATTTAGATTTTGCATGACGTAAAGCAAACTGAAAAATGATGTTAGTTCATTTCATCTGTAGCTAATTTCATTTTAAACAGGATGAATGGACAGGGGAGCAGAAATTGCAGTATACCGATGTTCTTGAAGATATTGAACCCGAAGAAATTAAGCCAATGGGAAATTATGCAGTTTCAATAACTTGGCCCGATGGGTTTAGTCAGGTAATATACACATCAGATTGGACAATTCCGTAGAAAAAACCAACTGTGCTACATAAACTATGCTCTATAGTTGATCTTGACAATTTAAGATATATATGATGCAGATTGCTCCTTATGATCAGTTGCAGACATTGGAAAGGCTAGTTGGTGTTTCTGCACAAGCATGATTTTTTTGGTTGTGGAAAACATCAGATTGTGAAGTCGCGGTGCATGTATGATAGAAGCTTTAATAGTTATTTCAATTATGCTTCAACAAGTAGGCACATATTTATTGGTATAGTTTAAGAAAGCTTTGTATGTTATAGGTTCAGGTTGGCCTTGTCATTCTATGAACAACACTAGTTTTTTTCCTGTCTTTTGTTCCATTGAGTAAGTATTTATTTCTCATCTGTGAATATGAATCATTGCTAAAAATTTCAGACAGTTAGATGTATATATGCACTTTGACACCCTCTAATCCTGAGCTAATGAGTGAAGATAAAAGCTAAGATGGAGATGAGTAGATGCAAAAGATATATACCATATGACAGAAGAACGAAACAAAACCAAATAAATCGAACAAATACGAATTTGTTGTAATGGAGTACCATCAAAAACAAACCTAAACTATGAGAAAGATTGACTTTCTTGAACAAACACAAGAAACTCTATTAGGTTTTTACACAAGAGAGAGAAGAGGGAAGAAGAAGAAGAAAATTAATATTGGTTGTAACTGTTTTTCTTTTCACTTTCTCTATTAGGATTTATAGATTACAAGTGAATAATAACAATCAACTTCTCTAAACAACTTTAAAAAACTAGTCTATTTATAGACTATTAAACTAACTTAGGCTACAAGTTAAGTTAAACAATTGGGCTAAATAAACAGACTCAATTCAACATGCTAACAAACCTAACATTATCGACTACCGCATGCTAGAACACAATTCGACTACAACATGCATGACTTCGACCTCAGCATGTGAATAGTGTAACACCCTATTTCTCCAACGGTAATTTTAATAAAAATCAGAGTAAATTAAATTTTTTGCATCAACAACAAATAGGATGTCACATCATTCAACATATTCAATTTTGTTCAGTTAAGATAAAACAGATACATAACACATATTTCGGATGAACCGACAACATTTCAACATAGTCTTCAAATTTCAAATCTATTAAAGCAACGGAAAGAATTCCATAATCATTCTAAAATCTTCAACCATTATAAGTCAACAATGAAATCAATTAAAAGAGAATTTATAGCACTCCCCAAAATCATCAAAAGACATTAATTAAATAAAAACAATCGAGCATTCATCCTCCTGGTGTTACGTATCAGAGCAATGACACCCACTCAATAAGAGAAAGCAACCTCTTCTAGACTCCGCGACTTCGCACTACTCCAGACTAATTGCATGTTACCCACGTGGAGGCAACATTCACACGGTAAGGGTGGGATATCATTTGCCATAAAGGTCAGGGCATAAGCCCTCAACGATGCATGAAATGGGACATGCTACAATAAATTTATGCAACCACAAGCATAATCATCAACATCACGCCAATTTCAGGCCAACACCATCTTGACAATACTGCAATATCACTTGTAATCCCTTTGCACATCATCGATACAACACCGACACAATTAATCACAATATTTTGCATTACAACACATACAACATACGCACATTTCAGAATTCTTCCAATAAAAAATTATTATATTGTCATCAAAATTATTATCAAAATATAGAAAATATTTTTAGCTTTTCAACAGTTCAAACAGTGCGTCAAACAGACACCCGAGGCGAAAGTTATAATTTTTAAAAGTTTTTCCAAAAATGTTGTCAGTAGCAGTGGTAACCGGTTACCACAAGACAATAACCTTTTTCTTTTCAAAATTTTTCGCGGTAACCGGTCACCCATTTATGGTGACCGATTACTATAAAACAGTAGCCAATTGTTTCAAAATACATACAGCAGTAACCGGTTACCCACGTATGGTAACCGATTACCCATCGCGAGCAGACCCAAAAACTTGATTTTTCTACTACGAAACCCCATCTTCTTCACCCAAAAACCTCTTTTCATGAAAGATCAAATGCATCCGGTATTCCAAACAATCAACACACATCATATATCACAATTCTAACGCAAATAATACATCAATTTCATCAATTACAAGCAGTTGTAACAACAATTTAACAATTATTCTACACCCAAAACCCTACATTCGAGCCTTCATCTACCCACAATTATACCACTTATTAGAGAGTCAGAATCTCACCCTTACCTTAGGTTCTTGGTTGATTCTTGGTCTCTACGGTGAATCCTCTGCCCTAGCTTCCTAGTGTTCTTCTCTTCTTCTCTCTTCTACGCGTCTTTCTCTGTTTCTACGTAATGACATGTTCTCTTGTTCTTATTCTAATATATATTCCAACAATAATCTAATTATCTCAATTAATTAAATATTTAATCATTATTATAAAATAACAATAATAATCCTAATAATATAATAATAATAATCACTATTATTCCACACACCCCCATGATTCTACGCATTTAACCATACACCCACATAACTACACCTCATCATTTTATATTTTTAATAAAAATAAATAAATTTTAATTAAATCGGGGTGTTACAACTCTCCCTCACTTAGAATATTTTCGTCCTCGAAAATTACCTGAGGCAAATAACTCTGGATAAGCCTCCTGCATCTTGCTCTCTAACTCCCACCTTGCATTCTCTCCGGCAGCTTCGCCCCAAACCACTTTCACAAAAGAGATCTCTTTGTCTCTAAGATTCTTCACCTCTCGATTCTCGATCCTCACAGGTACAATTTCAACAGTAAGAGCATCCCACACTTGTACATCATCTATTAGAATCACATGCGACAGATCAAAAATATACTTTTGGAGTTGCAACACATGGAATACATCATGCAAATTCGACATATTGTGTGGTAAGGCCACCCTATACGCAACAGTCCCCACCTTTCCCGAAATTTGATACGGACCAATAAACCGAGGAGTCAACTTCCTCGACTTCAAAGCACGTCCTACACCGGTCACTGACGACACTCTCAAGAACATATGATCTCCTTCTTGAAACTCAAGGTCTTTTATCCTCTTATCATTGTATCTTTTCTGCCTACTCTGCGAGGCTTTTATCTTCTATTGGATCATCTTCACCTCCTCTGTAGTTTCTCGTACGATTTCCGGTCCAAGTACTGCATTTTCACCGAATTCATACCAACATAATGGCGTCATGCACCTCCGACCATATAACACCTCAAAAGGTGCCATACCAATACTAGAATGGAAACTATTGTTGTAAGTGAACTCAATCAATGGAAGGCAACTATCCCATGTACCTCCTTGTTCAAGAACACAAGCTCTTAACAAATCTTCTAGTGACTGAATATTCCTCTCCGTCTGACCATCTGTTTGTGGATGATATGCAGAACTCAATCGCACCTTCGAACCCAACGCATCTTGCAAACTCTTCCAAAAATCAAAAGCAAATCTCAGATCTCTATCTGACACCACACTGGACGGAACACCATGCAGCTTCACAATTACTCGAATGTAAATCTTTGCTAACTTCGGTACAGGAAAATTAATACCGATTAGAATGAAGTAAGCTGATTTCATTAATCTATCAACAATCACCCAAATCACGTCGTGCCCCCTTGGAGTTCTTAGAAGCCCCGTCACAAAGTCCATAAATATACTATCCCATTTTCACTCCGGAACGTCTAAAGGTTCCAACAGCCCTGTAGGTTTTTGATGTTCAACTTTTGACTTCTAACAAGTCAAACATGCATACACAAACTGTGTCACGTATCGCTTCAACCCGGACCACTAAAATATTTCTTTAAGTCGTGATACATCTTGGTAGCTCCCGGATGAATACTTAAACTATTTCTATCGCTCTCTTCCAGAATCATCTTTCTCATTTCAGCATTATCAGGAATACAAATTATGTTTCAGAATCTCAACACACCTTGGGCATCTACCTTAAAGTTACTATCTCCAGATTTGCTACTCTCGACCTTAAATCTACCAACTTCACATCTAACTTCTGAGCTTCTTTAATATTATCTAAGAAATCATTGTTAATTTTCAACATCCCCAACATCACACTCTGTGGTGTCAATTTCATAGACCAGACTCAGGTCTCTGAATTGTTCGATCAACTCTAGTTCTCTAACCATCATAGCAGACATGTGCAAAGTCTTTCGACTCAAAGCGTCATCTACAACATTAGCTTTACCTGGATAATAATTCAAGCCAAAGTCGTAGTCCTTCAATATATCCAACCATCTCCTTTGTCTCATGTTCAATTCCTTCTGATCAAATAGATACCACAAGCTTTTATGATCACTAAACACTTCAAACCTAGAACCATAGAGATAATGTCTCCAAATCTTCAGCACAAACACCACTGCAACTAATTCTAGATCATGAGTATGGTAGTTCCTTCATGAATCCTCAATTGTCTCGACGCATAAGCGACCACTTTATCATTCTGCATAAGCACACCACCTAAACCTAATTTAGAAGTATCACAATATACCACTAATGATTCCTAAGGATTAGATAATATCAAGATTGGAGCCGTCTTCAATCTCTTATTTAACTCAACAAAAATCTCTTCACATTGGATGTCCTACACAAATGCTCTACCTTTACAAGTTAGTTGAGTTAACGGAAGTGCCAATTTAAAAAAACCTTCAATAAACCTCCTATAATAGCCAGCCAAGCCCAAAAAGCTCCTAATCTCCTTAACTGACTTTGGAGTTTCCCATTGCAACAATGCATCTACTTTAGACGGATCTACAACAATATCATACTTGAAATAACATGACCAAGAAAACTGACTTCTGTCAACCAAAACTCACATTTTGACAACTTTGGATACAACCTCTTCTCTTTCAATACTTGCAATACAATCCACAAATGTTCAACATGTTCCTCTTCAGATTTAGAATAAATCAAAATATCATCGATGAATACTACGACAAACCGATCCAAATAAGTGTTAAAGATACGGTTAATATATTCCATAAACACTCCCGGCGCGTTGGTAACACCGAAAGGCATCACCGAATATTCGTAATGTTCATACCGAGTTCTGAAAGCCATCTTCTGAATGTCTCCATCCTTCACTCGAATTTGG